ATTTTCCACGCGTGCTCCACGCGTGGGCGTCTCGAGGTGGTTCGCTGGTGTTCATGGGATTTCTCGTTGTCAAACTCGAGTCGGAAGTCCATGCATGAAGTCATTGTGTTTGAGGTCGGCCTCACCCCAGTCAAAATCAACAAGGAGAATATTTCTACTCTCCAGCTACTAGAAGGTAAGAAAATGCTGTTATTGGGAATGCTAGTTCTATTCCCAGCCAGAGAGATAACGCGAAAACACTAAGAGAAAATACATGGGCACTCACACATTCGGTGATGCATTGCGCGCGGGAAATCTGAACTTCAAATATTTCAATTGAAAATATGACAAATTATGCTAGCATACTTTTTTCTCAACTTAGTAGATTGAATTAGTATAAGAGACTTTTCCTAAGCAAAGAACATTATATTTGTGGGGATATTGCTAGCAGTGAAATGTGACATTTTACAACGTAGACCATCTGCAGTTGAGTCGAGTTTAGATAAGCTTAACCTTGCTTCGCTCGAGGTTCGAGAATTCATGTTTTCGGTTCTTCATAACATTTGCGGATTAAGCTTATGGAGTATTGAATGCTTTGTAATAGATATTGCCGGCAACAGATATGTAATACCAGGTCTCGATTGATTTGAGTGTTTAATCGTGATATACGATACTGAACAATTATTATACGTCGAAGTTGTGTTATTTGCGTAACATTACCAAATCAAACTTTACATCGACCCCCTGATGATCTGGCTAATTGTGAAAGTTGTAAGAGATTGGAAAAACCTCGGAGGGAAAAAAATGTTTTAAACTTAAAAAAGGCGTCGATAGACAGCATTGTTCCTTAGGTTTTAAATTTTATGTATTTTTGTTCGGGGCTATTTCGTTCATAAAATAACTCATATTTAGTCTATGTCTTAATTATTAATGATAATCCTATTATTCATAGTTTATGTTAAGCTTGTACATTCACTGGAAAATAAGGTTACTTTAGATTTTCCTCAGCAAATTTCACTTTCACAGTTGATTTTTAGGAATGAAATTTATTCCTAATAAAAATCAATTTGATGTTGTGACTTCAGATGCAATATTTATCATTTGTAGGGTGTGATGTTGGATAATTCTAAGCAAATTATAATATTTTGTTCTTAACACATGCAAGTTTATAGAAAACATAAATAAATTATTTAAACACTGTGGATGCTATATAAATGTTTGAATATTTGCCATTCAGTGGTTGAAACAAAGCATTAGAAAGTGATGTGTATAATTTTTTGAGCTTGTTACATCCGGTTTTTGAGATACAGTAAATATGATAAATATGGAAAACATGCAGCTTCATGATCAGAAAAACAGAAATTTAAACCAATCAAGGTATGGTCCTTGTCGTTCTCGTCATTCAAAATAGAAGGCAAAACAGAAGACAAAATAATGTTCTGCTTGTAAATTTGCCTTAATTGTTTTCATACTATTACTTATGGAGCAAACTGAAAGGTTAGCCTTTTCCTTTTCTTTGAGGACCTTAAATTGAATTTTTTATATTAATTCTAATCAGTTTTATTGGTTCCAAGACGCTTATGATTTTGCACTTAATGGGGGAGGGTGGAGAGTGGGAGTGCAGAGAGGGACATTGACAGAGTTGCATGTCTAACCTCAAACCCTTTGGGCAGGTTTCATAAACAAACTCAGACCCACAGTCATTTAAGGCTGAATTATAGTTGAGATGATGATTCCATAAAACCATGGCTATTAGCCTGAGTTCTCTGTTAGCACTGATAAGCAGCTAAAATCGCTATCTAGAAGTAGTCCTGGGTTTCACTCTTGAGATTTTGAAAATACTAAATGTCTAATTGTACATATGGAGGAATCTTAAAGTTTAATATTGCTGGTATGTTTAGCGAAGACCTTGGCAGATGTCTTAAGCTAAAAAAAAATTTGTCAGTGTACAGTTTTAATGTCGACCACCACAAAATATATATCTATGTTAAGCTTTAAATAAAATGGATTATCCTATAAATTGTTTCACTCCTATTATATCTTTGACTAAGAATTATTATAAGAAAACAGCGGCCTAGAAACCCAACATGACTGACATCAAGTTTAGTTATTACAAATTTACCAATATGTGTTATGTTGAAGGCCTTTGCCAGAGATTTTTATCGCAAAGAACAGAAGTCCCTGGCATGTTTTCTTTTTTTTTTT